GGGTTAGGTTTAGGGTCAGGACATCGTTTATCTTCCGGTTTCGTACACAAAGTTTCGTTTCCACCTCAGAAAGCTGCTAGTCACATGACCTAATCAAAATGGCCGCCTTGGATGTGGGTGGAGTCTGATCTCCACCCGAGGCTCCTACAGGTTACTGTAGGATATTATTATTATGATTCTGTACCCGCAGAGCCATGTTGTAGAGGACCCGGGAGGCCCGGCTGAACTCGGACGTCTGCAGGTCCACATCCCCCCCGGGGAGCAGCAGCCTGGAGACAAAACCCGTTAGAGGGAAAGAGTCCACAGAATACCAGGAACTAGGGTTAGGGTTATGGTTAGGGTTAGGCTTTCCCATCCAACAGGTTCAAACTGGACCCCCGAGAGGCCGAAAACCACACCAATGACATTCAATAATCCATCCATCCATTTTTGTTACCGCTTATTCCCAAATGGGGGAGAACTGGAGCCTATCCCAGTGGTACATTTAATTTAATTTAATTTAATTTAATTTAATTTAATCTTATTTTATTTTATATTATTTAATCTTATTTAATTTTATTACATTTTATTTAATTAGATTATAGTAAATGAAATGAAATGAAATTAAATGAGATGAAATGAAATTAAATGAAATGAAATGAAATTAAATTAAATTTCATTTCTATAGCGCCACATCCCAACAACAGGTATCCACACAGAGCAGATCTGAATTAGACTCTGAGTTATTTACAGAAGCCCAACTATTTTTTATAGGAATTAATTATTATATTGTTACAGGAATGATTATACTTTTAACAGAATTAATTCCTTTTTTAATAGGAATTCATTAAGATATTTGTCATAGGAATTAATAAAAAATTTTAGAGGAATAAGCTCTTATATTGTTATAGGAACTAATGGGCTCTACATTGTGCTAACCAGAAAAAAACACAGCTGTGAAGAATAAATTCTCTATAAATTCAATTAAATTTTGTTTTTATAGCTCCACATCCCAACAGCAGTTATCTCCCAGCTTTCCAAACAGAGCAGATCAGCCTGTTTTTTTTGTTTTTGTTTGTTTGTTTTGTTTTACTGTTGTTGTCATTGTTGTTGTTGCCTGTAAGTTAAGTACAGTAATAAAGTTTTTTTTAAAAAGTTTTCAGTTCCTTTTGCTTGGCGGCGCAACCCTGCCATGCCTCGAACGATTTCAGAAAAATGATGATAAACTGATAGATAACATGGAGGACGATGGATTTAAAACGAAAACTTAGTTGGTTTTGCATGTATTTGATATAAAAACCATTTAAATACACTGAGCCTTTCTTCTAAGAGCCACAAATTGGTCAATTTTCCACGAGAAAAAAACAAGTTTTGTTATAGTTGTACAACACCAGACCGATTTTTTGTCCTGATCCAGATAAAGAAGAGCCGAATAAAGAGACTCACCCGTTCACCGAGCTGAATATCTTTGCATATTCTTCCTCCGTTTGATTGATCCTGTCACACAAAAAGGCACATCGATCAACTCAGAGAAAAAACAGCATTGTAAAAGAGCATAAATCTCCTTATGTTCGCAGAGGCTCCGCCCACATTTGTCCCCTAATGGGGACTTAGCAACTGTTACTCAGACGAGGGATAAAAGATAAAAGCTAAGAGTATTTATCCAGAAAACCCCAATAAAGAGGGTCCCCTTAAACCTGATTAAGAGAAAATGACTGCTTATTATAATAATATTTTATATTATAAACCGTGTTGGTAAGTGTTCCACCGTGTGTATTTGTAAGAGCTTTTTCAGGTGTTTTCCGAAAGCAAAAGCAGAAATATGAGTGGAATCTGGAGTTAATTGAAAGCGTTATGGGGGCAAATGCCAGGAATGGAGAGGGAAAATGAAGTTATCGTTTTAAAACAGTCACAAACTGTTAGAGCAATCGGGTTTAATCATTTTAGTTTATGCAATTAAATGTTTGTGTCACGTCTGGGGGAATGTCTGGTGTGTCGACATGTGTTGATCATCTATTGTGTACACCTGGGGTTCCCCTCCCTCCTGTGTTTAAATGGTCCTCATTTCCCATGTCCTGTGCCAGTTTCGTTCGTTAGCTCTATTAGCTCTTTTAGCTCTATTAGCTCTATTAACTCTATTAGCACTATTAACTCTATGGGCTCTATTAGCTCTATTGGCTCTATTGGCTCTATTAGCTCTCTTAACTCTATTAGCTCTATTGGCACTATTAGCTCTATTGGCTCTATTAGCTCTATTAGCTATATTAACTCTATTAGCTCCATTAGCTCTCTTAGCTCTATTAGCTCTATTAGCTCTCGTAGCTCTATTGGCACTATTAGCTCTATTGGCTCTATCAGCTCTATTAGCTCTATTAACTCTATTGGCTCTATTAGCTCTCTTAGCTCTATTAGCTCTATTGGCACTATTATCTTTATTAGTTCTATTGGCTCTATTAGCTCTATTGGCTCTATTGGCTCTATTAGCTCTGTTAGCTCTATGCGCTCTATTAGCTATATTAGCTCTAATGGCTCTATTAGCTCTATTAGCTATATTAGCTCTAATGGCTCTATTAGCTCTATCAGCTATATTAGCTATATTGGCTCTATTAGCTCGCTCTATTCTTCCAAATAGAGCGAGCCCATCCAACAAAAAACAGAGTGAGCAATCTGCATCGTTTTAAGTAAGGAGGCTGAAAATGAGACGTTAGATCTAACATAAAAAGGCCTCTGATTGGCTGTTTGGGTGCCGAAGTTTGAGACGTTCAAAGAAAAGCTCCCGCCGCCTCAATTTAAGTCCAGGAAAACACCTCTTTGGCACAGCTATTTAAGCAAATCTGTCTTAAAATGCTAATCACAACTCTCTTTGGGAGACTCAACTATCTAAAAAATCAAAATAAACCTGTTTTAAACACGAGATAAACGCTAAAAACGTTGTTTGGGGGTACCTACCTAATGGGCACCACCCGGGACCCGGCGCTCTCCAGGTACTTCACGTAGGAGGCCGCGATGTACGAGGACCCGGAGGCAAACGGGTCGCCCGGGAGATTCTCCTGTGCTAAAATACCTAAAAACAAAACAAAAAAGATCATTTGTTTGGGTGGACAAAGCTGCTCCGTGTGGTCCCAATCCTCCTGGAGGGGCCACTGGTCACTTAAACTGGTGGAAAGATAAAGAAATGCTCATCAATTTTCATTTATTATTCATTTCTGCATTGATTTTGCAACACTTGTAATGTAGGAAGTTACTAATTAAATGTCCACGTCACATCTGATTAACAACCAGGTGTATAAATTACATTTAATTTTTTTTTTATTAAGGATCAGTGGCAACAAGAACAAGAAAAGTCTCCCTGATTTTTTCCAAAATAGCCACAAAAACAGCTCGTGACACACAGAGACACACACACACACAAACATACACAAACATACAATGACCCACACACACACTGACACACACAAACAGACACACACAGACACACACAGACACACACAAACACACACACAAACACAGAGACACACACACACACACACACATACAAACACACACAGACAAAGACCCACACAGACCCCCCCCCACACACACACACAGGTGAAAAAACGAATTTCTCTTTGAAAATGAGGACCTTCATAAAACAGACAGAGTAACATCTCTATAGCTAGTAGAGCTCCAGAAAATTTCCTCACTTTCCAAAAAGACCTAATTTTGTTGGTGAAAAACTTTGTAAGGACCTCACTCTGATGCAGCAACAAAGACACACACACACACACACACCTCCACACACACATACAGACACACACAGACACACTGACCCACACACAACACGAACACAGACACACAAACGCAGACACACACACAGACACACGCACACACACACAACATGAACACAGACACAAAAACGCAGACACACACACAGACACACGCACACACACACAGACACACACACAGACCTACACACACAGACACACACACAAACACACTGACCCACACACAACACGAACACAGACACAGACACACACACACACACTAACACAGACACACAAATGCAGACACACACACTGACACACACACACACACACACACACACACACACACACACACACACACA